CTCTGTCAAATAAATAAATAAAATCTTAAAAAAAAAAAAAGGAAATTAAGATGAAATAGGGTTTACCAAACCCTGTACAAATCTGTTGCTGTTACCATTATTTTAAAGGAAGGCTGCATAGTGTGGCAGAAATTGCTTGGCCTTGGAAGTCAGATGCCCCTGAGTTCATATCTCCGCTTGACCACTGACCAGTTGTGTGGCATGAGCAAGTTCTCTAACCTCCCAGAGCCTCAGTGTCCTCATGTATAAATAGGGAGAGTGATCTCTGCCTCGCAGTTATGAAAATTGAATGTGATAATATAAAATACCTGGTATGTGAGAGGCACGCAGGGGTAGTTAATTGTACTAATAGTTACACGTAACAGCACAAAGCAGTCATTTTGCTAAATATTAAAAAATGAAGGGCCCAACTCTCCCCCACTCCGAAAGTCTGCCTCTGGGAGAGGAGGGAAGCCAGGGCCCTGCTACCCCAGCGGACACTTCTTCCAAGGAGGATATGTTACTGCAGAGGCACAGGGCTCAGCGCACAGGCTAATGGTAAGTGCTGGTTTTAGGGCTGGGCAGACTGAGGGGGCCAGGAGCCAGCACAGGGGGGCCAAGTCCTTGTAACTGATGTAATTCCTGAAGGAGGCTCAGAGAGAGCAGCCAGATGAGAGATTCAGATTAGGAATTTATCCCAAAAAGGCCTTAAAATGGAATAAAATAAGAGTGATATTTACAAAGTACCAAAAGCATAGTATCTGTCACACTGTATGTGTTCAACAAGGTGGCTGTCATCATAGTTGAGTCACGGCACCTTAGACTGTATTCCTGACTTTGTCCTTAACATTAGAATATTCAAATTGAAAGGAGTATTTTGGGACATGTTAGAAATTCAGAACTGAGCCAGTAGAATTAGCCAAGTGAAAGAAAAAGAGAGCAAAGAGCTGAAAAAACCATTCCCATAAATCCCACCCACCTTAGATTTGCATTTCACGTGTATTCTTTCTGAACCCCACCAGCAAACCTGTGAGATAGGTCAGGTGGTGCGATGAGGTTAAAAGGCTAGGTAAAGATAGTGCATATTGGAGCTGCCGTGGAACTGAGGGCTTCTGCCTGTCTCTTGCATACTGCTGCTTCTGCGGTAGCCAAGACAGCAGACTTCTAAGGAGCTCCTGGCAAAGCAAAACATGGTGAGTTCCAAGCAGCTGCACTTGTGATGTTCTCTATACCTAGGCTGTAGTGTGGGGGTTAGGGATAGGCACTCTGGAGCCAGAATCCCAGCTTGAATCCCAGCTCTACAGCTTAACTGCTGGGTGGCGCTAGGCAAATTATTAACTCCTCTGTGCCTCAGTTTCCCCATCTATACAAATGGATAGTAACAGTACCTACTTCATAAGATAGGTACTTTATTATTTTTTTTTTTAAAGATTTTATTTATTTGACAGAGAGAGACACAGCGAGAGAGGGAACACAAGCAGGGGGAGTGGGAGAGGGAGAAGCGGGCTCCCCACTGAGCAGCGAGCCTGATGCGGGGCTCAATCCCAGGACCCTGGGATCATGACCTGAGCCGAAAGCAGACGCTTAATGACTGAGCCACCCAGGCACCCCAAGATAGGTACTGTAAGTAATAAATGCTTTAAACAGGCTGACATATAGTAAGCACTTAAAACTTAGCTGTGATCATGATGATCTCCCTTGGGCAGCCAAATCAAATTATTTTATTCTTTTAATAAAGATTTATTTATCAGGGTGCCTTGGTGTTAAGAGTCAGACGCTCAGCTGACTGAGCCACCCAGGGGCCCCAGGACCAGATTATTTAAAAAGCAGAAACTGTAACAATAAAAGCTAGTGTCTCCTTAGTGTCTGCTAGTAGCCAGGAAGTGCACTAGGCACTTTGTGCATCATCTCCTCTGACTCTCCCAGCTACCATGGGGACAGGAATTTGTGTGCCCATTTTATACACAGGGAAATTGAAGCTCAGAAACTTTAAATCACTTGACCAAGGTCACTCAACCAATATGTAGCTAAGCCAGGATTTGAAGCTAGGAATGTCTGACTCTAAAGGTATGAAAAAACTTCCGGTTTTTATGTTTCTTATTCACACCCCCGATACCAATACTGTCACCTTACAAAGGGGTACGAGGGAGCCAAGTGGCTAGCCAGTGGGATAGTATCCAAGTTTTCTGAAACCTATCAAGGACTCTTGCCTAGGATGGACTATAGCTGTTCCCAGAGAAAGCTGGAGTTGGTAGAAATGGCTGGTTGCACGTGGGTATCCTCCCCTCTCCCTGTACCCACACAGCCCAGCCATGCTTGGAAGCCTGATAACTGGGTACTGTCTCCTAGAGTGACTGCACCAAGTTGTTCAGCCAGGGCATTGGAGGGGAGCAGGCCCAGGCCAAGTTTGACAGCTGCCTTTCTGACTTGGCTGCCGTGTCCAGCAAATTCCGAGACCTCTTACAGGTAAGCCCCACAATCAGTTGCTGACTGAATTCTGTGCCTGTGTGTTGCTCTGAGAATATTGTTACTGGTTTATTACGGGATCAGTGTATAGAAGGAAACAAGGAGAAATGAGGGGGTAGCATGCAAGACACTGAACTCGAGTCCCTTTAAGATTAAAGGTTTTTCGGGCGCCTGGGTGGCTCAGTTGGTTAAGCGACTGCCTTCGGCTCAGGTCACGATCCTGGAGTCCCGGGATCAAGTCCCACATCGGGCTCCCTGCTCAGCAGGGGGTCTGCTTCTCCCTCTGCCCTCTTCCCTCTCGTGCTCTCTGTCTCTCATTCTCTCTCTCTCAAATAAATAAATAAATAAAATCTTAAAAAAAAAAAAAGATTAAAGGTTTTTCAGCAGTTGTCATTCTGACAAGCCAGCATTTTGGTCCTCTTGAGTCTCCACTTGGCCCCCAGTGCCAAGAGCCCAGAAAGGTGCTCAGATGGAATGGAACCACATGGTTACTCGGACCTGCTGCTTGGCCTTAGCCAAAGGTGCTGCCTACTATCAGGCACTCAGAAATCTCTTTTTTTGAGTTTGCCAAACCAACCCCATAACCTGGACCTGACCTGGTACAGATCTGGGAAGGAACGGGTTGTTTCTGACCCCTTCGATTAGCATTTTCTGGTAGACTTTGGATAGGCCCACAGGAAAGCCTGAGAACTGGAAGAATGCCCTGGCAGTCACGGGATGGATGGAGCAGAAGAAAGGAAGGGCAAGGTACACGCGTCTTCTTTGTCTCATGTGTCTCTGCCTCGTCCCACAGGAAGGGCTGACAGAGCTAAACAGCACAGCCATCAAGCCGCAGGTGCAGCCTTGGATCAACACCTTCTTATCTGTCTCCCACAACATCGAGGAGGTTAGCCTGACCATAGGCAGCCATCAGGCCCAGGATTACTCCTCATTCTCCCAACCCCCCGGCTGGAGGGCAGTGGAGCTGTCTGCACAGACCAGCCCTTGCCTGCTTCTCTGGAGGGAAGTTCCATGGAAGTATAATAGACTTCTATGGATGTGAATTTCAGCCTCTCCCCCTGGAAGACTAGGTTCTTCCCAGGAAACAGTTGTTCCTGCAGCCAGAAGGGCTCTGAAAGACACCTGTAGGGGGTTTGCCATGACCTGACACATCCTCTTTTATTGAGGCTTTTTGCCCCACCTATCAGACTTAGGAGCTTTTTTTCTAGTCTAATGATATCATTCTTGCAGAACATGAGATGCAAAAGGAAATAAAAGGCCAGGAGCTTTACCGTATTGTGTGGGCCGCTGCTGCAGCTCAGGGCCATTTCCTGATCGAAGTGTGATATAAAAGCAGCAGCGGCATACGCCAGCTTGGACATCCAAGCTGCTTTTAAGCTGGATGAGTCAGAAGCTAGAGAGGAAAGGCCTCTTCCTCTGTTGTTTTAGAGGGGTGAAAGTGGGGTAGGGTGAATGGTACTTTCTGGAGAGACCCCCAGTGACCCAGCTTGTTTCCTGACAATAGGAAGAGTTCAATGACTATGAGGCCAATGACCCTTGGGTACAACAGTTCATCCTTAACCTGGAGCAACAAATGGCGGAGTTCAAGGTGAGCAGGAGCTTAGAGACCAGGTTATGGAATTACCCACCTCTGCCCAAATCAGCAGCCTTTGGCTTCTCATCCCACCCTACTGGGAACCCCCAAAACTCTTCCAGGCCCCAGCCTGTAGACATACTCCCCCAACAGCCTCCTGTAACTGTGCCTACCCCCCGAAGACTCCTGTTGGAGGCAGAGGGGCTTAGGTAGGACTCTAACTAATGTCTAGCCTCTGTGTGCAGGCCAGCCTGTCCCCAGTCATCTATGACAGCCTGACCGGCCTCATGACCAGCCTTATTGCAGTCGAGTTGGAGAGAGTGGTGCTGAAATCCACCTTTAACCGGGTAAGGTCCAGGGAGTACAGGTCCCCAGCTCTGTTGTTTTTCCTCCGAGGAAGACAAGTCCTGCCATCCTAGGACTTGCATCCCCTCCGTCTGCTACCCGCAGGCCCTGCATATCTAGCCCCAGTCCTGCCCTGGCATCTGAGGCCTTGGAGCTGACTGAGGCACCACATGAAGGCCAGGCCTTGAACACTGACTGAGCCTGTGCCCCCTTGCAGCTGGGCGGTCTGCAGTTTGATAAGGAGCTGAGGTCACTCATCGCCTACCTTACCACAGTGACCACCTGGACCATCCGAGACAAGTTTGCCCGGCTCTCCCAGATGGCCACGATCCTCAATCTGGAGCGGGTATGTGTGGCTCCCTTGACCTGGCGAGGGAAAGGTAACTGGGAAGAGAGGCAGAAACATTTGGATCCCTGCCTCTCCCTCAAAACCAAGTGTCCACCAGCAGCCCAGCCCTACAGAGCACCTTCTTCCTGGGCACCACTCCTGCTCTGCCTCTGGTGGAGCGCAGGGCCTTCTCTCAGGGTAGCCTCTCGTTGCTGACCTGTCATATGTTCTTCCCCACAGGTCACGGAGATCCTAGATTACTGGGGCGCCAACTCTGGCCCACTGACGTGGCGCCTCACCCCTGCCGAAGTACGCCAGGTGCTGGCTCTGCGCATGGACTTCCGCAGCGAGGACATCAAGAGGCTGCGCCTGTAGCTGCCAGGGGGCGCCCACCTGGCCCGTCATTCTTCAGGCCCCTTCCCTAAGTGGCCACCGCCAAGTAGCTGAGCAAGGCTGTCTGGCTTGGGGAGTTCTGACGGAGCAGACTTCCACTGCAGACAGCAGGAAATAAGGCTCAACTCACTCTGCTGTCTGCACTCAGGCCTGTCTGGGTGGTGCTTTGCAGGTAGCCTCTCCCTACCAAGAGAGGTGAGTCCCCCTGGGCACCTAATTATGTGGGAAAGCCAAGGCAGGCCAGCTTTCTGCACAGGTGGCCATTCTGTCCTCAGACACTACAGCAAACAGCCTGCCTCCCTGCCAGCCCTAAAGGACTTGGGTATATCTGGGGCCCTGGGGAATTAGGTTTACTCTGAGGAGAGGCTGTGATGTTTATGATCACCCTGAATAAAGACACTCCTTGGAGAGATGCCAGTATGCTGTTTCCAGGGAGGGCTGGATGCTATAGGGCAAGACAGGTCCACCAGTGGCACTGAAGTGTGAAGGCAAAAGCCTAAAGCCTCAGCCTCCTCCCACACCACTGTCAGGACCCACATGAAAGCATGCATCTCAACCTCACCTAACCCTGGATCCTCATCCCCCTCTTGGGCCCTTAGCACCAGAAGCTGGATCATCCCAGGGGGAGTTTCCCACAGTGCCAAGGCAAGTGGGAATTACTCCTGGCAAGAACAAAAAAGAACTTTATGAAAACAACCTGGAAGGGCAGAGCACATTTATTCCAAGAAGGCTGCAATCCTGAGAATCGAGTGCCCATTGGCATTGGGTCATGTGGCATAGTCTGTAGTGTTAACGGTTAAGGCCTCTATTAGCAGTGACTTGCTGTAAGACCACATTGGCTCATGGCCACAAACAAGAGTAGGGACCCACACCCCTGTTCCCCCTCCCCCATCAAGTCAGCCTAGGAACGAGTGTTGAGCAGGAACTCTCTTCTCAGGCAAAAGCCTGACCTCTAAGGAAGGCCACAGGAAATGCCTCGAAGAGCCTCTTCAGGGTTGGCCTTACCAAGGACCCCAGCCATCTGCTAAAGCTGGTCATCCTTTTTCCAGGCCCTCATGGAGAGTAAGGAGGCCAAGGCCCAAGGCGGGCCAGAGATCTGTAAAGGCCAAATGGGACACTCAGCTTAGGACTCGCCTGTGTCCAGAGAGAGCAGAGGCTAGCCCTAGACCACAGTCAACCAGGAGGTCACAGTCCTATTCCCAGGCACCATCTGTTTCACCAAGCTTCAGAAAGGGCTGGGCCCAAGCTCACGTTGGCTGGCTTCCTTTGGGAGCAGGTTCATAAAGGGGTGGGTAGAGAGTAGAAGGCTGACACTTCCATGGGGGAAGGAAAGGTGGGGCTGCTGTAGCTCCAGGTTTTCTCCTCTTACAGAGGGACAAGCTTCTGGGAAAGAGCATCAGGTTGAGGTCTCACCCCCTAGCAGCTGCAGGCTCAGGCCCTGAGTGTCCACTTCTACCAGGTGGACACTGTAGTTCCCGAGGCCCTAGGAGCAAAGAACAGGAAGTGTTTAGAGGACAGGAGGCTCTGGGCAAGTCTCAGGCCACAAAACTCATGCTGCAAGGTGGTCAGGGGGACTTGCAGCTGTAGCCCCTGGTTAGTGGTGGGCCACAGTGAGGGCTCCTGTCCCCCACCAATTACCACACCCCCAACACCATCAGGTACCTCAGTCTTGGCCAGGACAGCCTCCAGAGCCTCTTTTTGCCGCGGCTCCTTGGTCAACAGATAGAGAAAACCCCCTCCACCTGCCCCTGCCAGGCTCTGGCCATGCACGTGGGGGGCCAGGACATCCATCATACGCCGCACAGCCAGGGGCTCACAGCCTGGAGCCATGAGCTTCTTTTGCTCCCAGTAGGAGGTCAGGCACTGGCCCAGCAGAGGCAGGCTTCCTGGAGAGGGGGCAGAAGGGAGTGGCCTGCCTGAACCAGGATATTCCTTCAACACCCATTTGTAGACCAAATGAGGTGCCAAGAGACACTACTTAACCAGTGTCATGGTTAAAAACCTAGGTCCAGTGCTGGCTTGGAAACAGGAGTGCTGAAGCCCAACACACAGGGTTGTTTGAAGACAAGTGCAAAGAGCAGCTGCATGGGGCCCAATACAGTGTTCAGTCAACTGTGGCCACACACATGGAACCCTGATCCACTGACTCTGGAGCTCAACAATGGGGCTGAGCCTCCTCCCCAGTCTGCTGCCTGCTCGGTGGGGCTGGAGGCCTTCCTCATGGTGCAAGTGTTACCCTAAGATATAGCTCCCACCTAAGTGTAAGACCCTGCAGAGGACAGACAGTAGGTTTCTGTCTCCAGGGGCCTCATACATGGGGCCTGAGGCAAGCCTGCAAAGGGTCCTGGCCTCAGACCCACAGGCAACAAGGTACTCGCTCCTGATGCCCTGAGACCCAGCAAGAAGCACCTCACCTTGGCGGAAGGCTTCAGCACATTCCTCGGTGTGCTGCACCAGGCTGTGGGCGTTCTGCACGACGGCAGGCAGCCGGGCATACCAGCTCCTCAGCACGTCCTGCAGATGGGGCGGGAGGGAGGCAGTAAGGATCTGGGCCCAGCTGAGCCATCTACCTCCCTCCCTCGTCCCGGGACCAGGGCTCACCTGCAGCAGATTCCGTGCCAGCCGGGTCTTGCCAGTGTACACGAGGAGCAGGTGGTCACTGAGCTTCTGGACAAAGCCCTCAGGCACAGTGATCTCCTCCACCTCCACCTTCAGTGGCAGCTGAGCCCGGGAGCGCCCCACCTTGATGCCAGGCATAAGGCCACCCACTTGGTCCTGCCAGCCACCTCCTGCAAGCCCAGGGTCCCATCACTTTTGGAGCCTATCTGGCTCAACTTCTGGCTCCCAGCCCCGGCTCCCAGCCCTGCACCCCTGGCAGGAACCAGTGTGGGAAGACAGCTTCCCCCAACTCAGGCTGGGCCAGGTGAGCTGTGCAACTTCTGCCCCCAGACCTGGGAACAGGACAAGCCCAGCAAGGGGAAAGGGTTTCACTCTGGAGCCAAGCTTGGAACTCACAAGGCCTGAGTTGCAGACCTAACTGTAAATGGAATTGGGGTAAAACACATCAAAGGGTAAGCCCTAACGGTAAACTTCTCCCCTCCAGGAGAGATGACATAGGACTTTCCCTGCAGCCTAACCGGCCCCTGCACCCTGTCTTTTCTGATAAAGGGTGTTGATGTTAGAAATCAGCTTTTCAGCATCTCTCATTTGAACTCGAAAGAGCTTGTTCACATCTTACTTTAGCAATGAACGGTATGGATCTCTTCCTCTTGCAGCTATATAAAAGTGACACTATTTAGGGGCACCTGGGTGGCTCAGTCGTTGGGCATCTGCCTTCGGCTCGGGTCATGATCTTGGGGTCCTGGGATCGAGTCCCACATCAGGCTCCTCGCTCAGCGGGGAGCTTGCTTCTCCCTCTCCCACTCCCCCTGCTTGTGTTCCCTCTCTCGCTGTGTCTCTCTGTCAAATAAATAAATAAAATCTTAAAAAAAAAAAAGTGACACTATTTGAGATAATTCTGAGATAGGCCTTCCATATCTGGGGAAGGGCCTGCAAGGACTGAAGTACAAAATGCCAATGACAGGAAGCATCTGGAACTTTACAGCCAAGACAAGGCGGTTGGCTTTGGGCCCCGAATGTCAAGAACTCTTTTTACCAGCAACCCCCTCCTTCAGAGCACTCAGCACAGCTTGTAATTATACGTTCATTTCAGTGGTTATTGATTAAGGTCTGTCTCCAATAGACCATAGGACTTCGGAGGGAAAGGACCCCGTTTTTGCTCATTTGCTTATTTTATCCCCAAGGCCCGACACAGAGTGGATACTTAATAAATCGTTGTCAATTGACCAAATGAAGGATTTGAATGGTACACCTCAGAAGGAAAGTGAAAAGCCCCCTCCCCCTCCTTGCTAGTGACTACCCATTCTGGGGTGTGAATCACGGCAATGAAAGGAGGAGGTGGGGCTACAAAGTGGCCAGAGGAGATGCCATAGTCAGGCATCTATCTTTGCAGCAGCTTCCTTCCCAGCGTCATGCACGTGAGACCCTGCACGTGGACCTATGGGATCTCCATAGGATCTGGGGTCAGAGAAACCTCCAGCTGCGCTCCCTTGTGGATTCCAAGGGGCCACAGTGGTGTGGAGGAGAAGCTAGTAACATTCCATTATGATCAGAGCCATGTACTGGGCCCTCTGCGCACCCCCCATATAGTAGTGGGGGGCACAAATGACCACAGCCCAAGGGAGGGGCAAGTGGCCAGAAGGCAAGCTAAAAGTTCTATTCTCTATTCCAAACCCACCTCTGCCCAGCCCCACCCTGAGGGACAGCCCTATGTGGGGAGAGAATCATGGGCAATAGCAGCTGGTATAACGGGTACCTAATAGGACACATGAAAACTGCAGCACAGAATCTGGCACTTAGTAGGTGCTCCTAAAGCATTAGGCCGTTGGAGGTTGAAACATTTCAAGTTGAAAACCAAGCAGAAAGGGTCAGAGTGGTAAGGACACTGTAACCACTTTAAGGAGTAGTACAGTTATGCGGCCATCTGCAAGTCCAGGGAGCCCCTGCAGAGCCTTGGGGAAATGCCCATGACCTCCCGCCTGCCTCAGGGCAGTCCCATACCTGTGGTGAGCACCTGTTCCAGGTGCAGCACCGCATGGATCAGGGCCTCAGTGCCCACCGCCCGGCCCGCGGCCCTCTGCACGGCAGCCAGGGCTGCGCCTGCCAGGATGCTGCTCGTGCCTGCAGGGTGCAGAGAAAGGCGCCAGCCATGAAACAGCTCTGCCCAGCCCAGTCCTGCCCCACCCACTCCCTCTGCTGGGCAGAGGCTCGGGGGGGATCAGAGGTGAGGCCAGAGGTTGGGGATGCAGTTGGTGGGCAGCAGGGAGACAGGACCGGCTCACCAAGACCAGAACCGTGGGGCAGCTCCGACCAGGTGTGCAGCTCGAAGCCTCCCCCGAAGGCGTGCAGCAGCTGCTCTCGCAGCGAAAGCTTGGAGCCGACATGCACGATCCCCGCACAGATGAAGGTTGCCTTCAGCAGAGCCCCTGTGGAGGGACCAGCAAGGAATTTGGTCTCCAAGGGCAGAAGCAGATACCCCAAGCCACCTCCATTACTGCCCAGCCCAGCATGAGGCTCCCCGGGGGACAAAAGCCCAACAGTATTGTAGGCCCCATCTCTAAACCATGAAAGGGCCTCTGGTCTCCCAGCAGAGGCAAATGTGCCAGCCCTACCTCCTAGGCCTATATGCACCTAGGCAGGATACAGACCAGCTCACCCTCAGGCCAGGCCTCTGTGGCCTGCAGGGTCTCCAAGGTTCTGCCCCCATCCCTCAGCTGGACACGAGTGCCATCCCCACCTGGAGATGTCAAAGTGCCCTGACCTGGGGCATGGGGCTGGCAGTAATCCCGCAGGTCATCCAGGCTCCAGCACACTATCTTCAGGGCCATCTTGTCCTGCCGAGGCCCCACTGCCAGCCACAGCTCAGGCTCTGGGATGCGGCGTGCCCTGGCCCCGATGGGCCGGCGGCCATCCACTCGCACGGCCAGACCCAGCACTGCCCCACCGAGCTCATAGGCAAGGGGTGGCGTGTCGCTCCAGCCACCTTCAGCAATTGGATAAGACCAAGTGGGTCACAAGGGCTGCCAGCCCCGCTCTGGGGTGGCCACCCTCACCCCCACCCCCAAAGGCTCACCTGAGAAATCCACCCGAGCCGGGCACTCAGCCACCACCCACTGTCCAGGAGCTGGCTGCTCTGCTGGCTCCGTGGACACAAACTGCCGGGCTGACATCACAGCCTGGCGGATGAGAATCTGCCCGGCTCCCTCGTAGTGGCGGGCAGCTCGCACTAGCAAGGCTGGCCTGCCAAGAGGGAAGGGACAGATGGTGGCATGCAGCCCCAAGCTGGGGTGAACTGCCTGCACTTGGGGACCTGACTGCCCTGGGTAACCCTACCCTGGGTAGGAGGACGCCCCTAACTCTCCGTGGGTTTCTACCTCCAAGGATGGCCAGGGACCTCGCAAAGGCTTTGACATCATTAGCACCCACCTGCTCAGCCACTTGTCCCGCTCCTGGGCAAGCGCATGCACACCCCCTGCCAGGTCTCCACACTCCAGGTACGAGAAGGGCCGCATCCACCCAGGGTTGGCAGCTGGCCCGCTCCGTAAGCCTCCTCGGCCCTCTGCCATGCAGCACAGGACATCGGCCACACAGGCCAGAGCCCGGGCTGCCACACCAGGGTCTCCCGCACCAGCTGCAACTGAGAGACCAGGAGTCAGTGTGGTGGGGGAAGGGGACTGCCCCCATTGCCCTCTGCCCCAGAATACTACTCGGCAATCCCCAAACAAGAGGTCCCTCACACCTCTTCACTTTTGCCCAGGATGTGTCCTTGCCCATGAATGTTCCCCGCTTCTCTGCCCAGAAGGGTTCTTCTCATCAGCCCCATCCCAGATGTGCCTCTTCAGCCCTCACCCGGGATATCCACAGTGGTTACGAGCTCAGGCTCCAGGGTCCAACCACCTGGGTTTTAGTCTCAGCCCCACCACCAACCAGCTTAAATGGGGATAATGAGGTGCTGCCCACGAGGCTAAGGCTGAGCCCCTAGCTAGTGCGCCTGGGCCTCAAGATGGAGCCAACGACATCCCAGCCCACTGCAAAACATGCAGGGTTTGCCGATGCTCACAGGACCCCGAGGCTCAGCCCCAGGCCCCAGCCTCTCACCAAACTCCCCACTGACAGGGATGAAACTTCCCACAAAGTTACAAGTACACTTCACTGCATCCCTCCCCTGCTTTAAAGTCTCCTGGCTCCCTAGTGCCCTCAGACTGATGACTCAGAGGGCAGGGAGGGCAGGTGACGGTGGGACTGGCTTTCCAGCACACTCACCGTGGTCCAGCGTGGCCAGCAGGGGCCCAGGACAGCCCTCTCGGACAGCAGCACGGATCAGTGGGCGCAGGCTGAGGTCCTGCCGGGCCTCCAGCACATGCCTCACCTTCCCCAGGGCCTGGTGGAAGAACAGGTCCCGGCGGGAGGCCAGTGTGGCAGCCCGGTCCAGGCACGGCTGCAGCTGCTCCCAGGACAGACGCCAACAGGTCCGCCAGGCCCTTAGGGCCTTGCCCCCATCCTCCTGGGGGTCCAGCATCCACAGCAAGTCCTGGGGCCCCAAGGCCCTCAAGGGGTGGAGCACGGGAAAGAGGCGGGCACTAAGAAGGCAACGCTCTGCAGGGGTGGTGTCTGGATCCCACAGATCCCAGTCTCTGATGTGGAGAAAAGGCACATTAGAGGAGGGAGAGGGGGGAGGCGGGGCAACAAGGGCTCCTGCCTGATCACCAAGCCCTGACTGCCTGTCAGCTGGGAGCTGGCTCATTCATGGGGACAGGACAAACTCCTCCAGAGGCAGCCCAAGCGGACAACTCAGGGAGGGAGGCCCAGATGCCTTGCCTCCTTTCCCAGACCACTGAACCAAATCCCAAAGCCTGAGCAGAGCCAGGAATTTGGAGTTGCCTGGGAAGATGCTGGGGCAAATCAGGCTGCCCAAAACTATCCCAGGCCCCCAGGATGGTTGGGGGGGCCGGGTGCTGCCCTCGGGGGCAGGAGCAACGGCAGGGGTGAGCCGCAGAGAAGCAGCCCCCTGGCCGCCTAGGCCTATGGAGGCCCATCGGGGTCATCCACCTTACCGAACGCCTGTCTTCTGAAAGAATTCACTCCAGGACATGTTGAGATATGTTCCTGTCCCCTGCCTCTGGGGGAAGAGGAGGAGGCAGTCAGGGCCTCCGGGGCCACAGGAAGGGGTGAGGGACCCTAAGGCCAGAGAGGACAGGAAGAGACACGGGCACATACACAAGCAAGTTCTATAACACCGCACCAAGCCCCGGAGCCTCAGTGCTCCTGCCCAGGTGCCGGGAACTCGCAGCGGACCCCTGCTTCTAGGCCCATCCCACCGTAACTGGCTCTGCAGTCCAAGGCAGGTCACCACCGTCTCTGAACCTCAGTGTCTGGCCTACAACATGGGCATAAAAATCCCCAGCCAGCCCGCCACACAGAGCGGACAAGGAGGGAGGGAAAGGCCTGCTGAGACTACTAGCCACACCCTCCTCACCCCCCCTCCGCCCGTCCCTCAGAGAGACTTGCAGTGGTGTAGGCGCTAGGCTGGGACCCTCGGGGCTCCCCAAAGCCTTAAGATGGGCGGTGAGGGAGGAGGGGTGGACACCTGCCTCCCAGCTGTCCAGACGGCCAACGAGGGTGAAGACACGGCCGGGAGCACCGTGTAGCTGCACGTGGTGTCCCTGCAGGACGAGGTCATGCAGGTCCAAGCCACGCAGGGCCTTGCACTGCGCCGTGTCCAGGCCACTCACGAGGCAGCCAGGGCCGATGCGAATGGGGCCCTGGAAGAAGAAAATGCAGGCATCCTAGCACAGCCCTTAGTGCTCCCCCAGCGCACCCAGGACCCTGGCCCCTGGAGGCCTGCCCTCCCTCCGCCCTGCCCTCTGACCTCACCTGCAGGTGGCAGTGCTGCAAGACACTCCCAGCACCCAGCTGGACAGGGCCCTCGAGCAGGCAGCTGACCACAGAGCTCCCGGCGCCCAGGAGCTGCAGCTCCTGCGAAGCCAGGGAGGAGGTCGCGAGCGCCCCGCACCCGGGGCTGCCCAATCCCCCTCCGCGTCCAAGGCCCCTGCCAGAATTCCTGCCGCTCCCCGAGCCTGACGGCCAGCCAGCCCCCTCTGCCCCGGCCCCAGCCGCAGACCAGCTCCCCTCCCACCTTGCTCATGCTGCTCCCCCGGTGGCACGCTCTGCCTGCGTTCTCCCCAGAGCAAATCTGCACTCAGTGACGGAGGTCCCCCGCGCCAGATGACAGCTCTCCCGGGAATCCCCACCCCTGCCACCCTGAGAGCCACCTATGAACTCTCCCTGCCCGCTTCCTCAGCCCATGGCACTGACCCTGGCCCATCGCCTCAAATGTGCCTGTCTCCCCAAGCAGAGCCCGCAGAGAGTGGCTTCTCTTGTCTCTCAGTCAGGCAGACCCGGATGGAGAATCCCGACTTGGCCACCTATTGGCTCTGTGGCTTGAAGCAAGCTACTTAACCTCTCTGAGCCTCCAGGGCCTCATGTGAACAATGAGAACAATCACGCCTACACGCGTAGGTGATCTGTTCCAAGCGCGGGCTATCCCTTCCCTTTCCGGGAGCCCCCGCCCCATCTGTCCGCAGGCACCCCCAGGCACTTCCGCCGGCCCTCCCTCCAGGCAGGACTTACCTCCACCTGGGAGTGCACTACCCGGGCCCTGGGAGCCCCAGGGAACGTGAGGCTGCACAGGAACTCACTGGCCGAGCTGGTCATGTAGCTGTAGCTGCCGTCGGGAACATAAGCTGTAAAGATTCAAGGACTGACCCCAACTCCGTGCCTGCTACAGCTCTGATGTCTCCCACCGGAAGACATATCTTAATGAGGCCCTGGGAAGGCAGGCACGCCAATGAGCCCACTGTGCCCATGGGGAAGTTGAGATCCAGAGAGGCTCAGCCACCTGTCCAAGTCACACAGCTAGAAAGTAGAAAGACTGGGACTGGAGCCCAGGAATGAGACAAGGGAAGAAGGGAAGAGAGTTATGGGTTCTGGACTGGGAGAGGGGTCATTGTCTGGCATGCACTAGGCCTGCCTGGTCCAGGAGCCAGGGGGCCAGGCAGGCAGCAGCCTCATCCTAGGGGTCCTCACTCCTGTGGTCTCCCCACCTCAGAGAGCCAAGTGACAGTACCCACCCATGGTGAGGGGCTGATCGCGAAGCTCCCTCCACAGCTCAGCCCGGGCAGCCTGCAGATAACCCGCGACGTCCGAGTCACCTTGCCCCATCTCCGGGGGCTGCCCCACCAGGAAGTTCTCCCTGTTCACGTTCCGGGCCATGCAGAGCAGGATGTCGAAAAAGAGAGACAGCTGGGGCAGGGGTAGGAAGCACAGCTATTGGGAAGGTTCCTAGGTTGAGCTGGGGCAGTCGCATTCCCAGACACTGGCCCAAGGCCACCCAACCAGGCTGCCAGTGTCAGGGCCTCTATCCAAGGCCTGGGGACCCCAGCCCACGCCCCCGGTCACCTGGACTGGCCGGGCTCCAGAGTCCAAGCCCATGTAGGTGCAGGCATCCAAGGGCGGGCTCACATGGGTGGCCAGGAGGTGCTCGGCAGTCTCCACAGAGAAGAAGGTGACCCCGGAGACCTGGAGAGGTCAGGGTCAGGTCGGGGGGTGGGGATGCTGGGGCCAGGCTTGGGTCTGAGTTGGGAAGGGCATGGGAAGGCCCATGCAGATGGGCCAGGCAAGGCTGGCTGCCATACCAGGCAGGGTACTTTGTCTCTGGACCACTCCAGCACCCAGGCTCCAGGCTTATTGAGAGTGGCTCCCACTCAGGGACACTCAACGGGGACGTTCTGACACCCCCCTCAATTTTCAGGCCTTCCTGAACTAGAGATAGAGAACAAAAAATAGTTCCCTGTCTTCCTCAAGGTCCAGTCCCAAATCCTTACCCAACAGTCCTATCCTTGTCTTTCGTTCTAGAAGGATCCCCCAAGTTGGATTCTAGGCTTCCTCCCAGTTCTAGAAGGATCCCCCAAGTCGGATTCTAGACTTCCTCCCAACTGCATTCCCCAAATTCCCCACATTCTGGTTCTAGCCTTTCTGGTTTGGGACAAGACCCTGAATCCCAAGGCCACACCTTCTTCAGCTTCTAGCTCCACCGACTCCCCTGAATGCCAGTTCTAGACCTTACTCGGCTTCTGGTTCTAGGCCACCCCAGAATCTTCTGGAAGGAGTGGAGCTCTGCCCTGAGCAGGAAGGCAAACCCTCCCCTCCTCATCCCAGAAGGCCTCCAAAGCCCCCAGCGTGGGTCTGGCAGCTGTACCAGTGGTACCCGCCCATCCGGCCTGGCACACCGTTGTATCTCTGCCTCCGTGCCCTGGTAGTAAATGTCCAAAACGAAGCCCTATGTGGAGGCGGGAGAAAACCGAGTTAGGGAAAGGAGCAAGAGAGGATCAGTCAGGAGGGAAGGGCAAGGTGTTCTCCAAATGAACAGCTAGGATGAAGTCTGGCAGGTCCCAGCGTGCTCGCAGGGACGCGAGCGCCAGAGACTCCCACCCCCCGACGGTAGAGGGCAGGCTTTGAATGTCTTCACAGCCCCGAGCACAAGCACAGAACCTAGCACGCGGCCAGTGGCCAGTGCGTGATTCGCGTTTGGCAAAAGACTAAGTGAGCAAAAGGGCTGTTTGCAGGGGAACTGCTCCAAATCCAGACCATGCCAGGAAGTCCAGGATGAGAGGCTTCCCCAAGGATAGGACCAGGAGGCCAACCCAGATGGTTCGGCTGCCCACACCGCTGTCCCAGGGGCAGTACCTGGGAGTCAGTAAGGTAAACACCATGGTTCCGGGCATAGGCCATGCTCCCTGGAAGGGCAATCACTCTGGCTCCCCGGAAGTTGTCCCAGCTGATCCCTGTGAGTCAGGCAGTTAGGAGGTTCCCTGAGGGCCCCAACCCAAGGCAGGGGGCCCCAGCCAGGAGGAGGCAAGAGCTCAGGGCAGGGACATCCAGACACCTCTAAAGGGAATATGGTTTCCAAAGCCAAATGGACATTCCTCTGGGAGAATGACACCACCTGCCCTCCCAAAATTCTTCCACAGAGCCCTGCAGGGCCGAAGGGGCAGGGCGGGGTGTCTCCATTCTCTAGCCAGGCAAACAGAAGCCCGGCCTCTGGGTCTGGGCTTCAGGCTCCACATCCTACAGTTTCCCTTCTGAACAGGGCAGCAAGCCAGTCCCAGAGACCAAGTGAAGAACGGTTTCTGGCTGTGGCTAGGGTAGGCAGTCCCAAGCCTTCTCAGGCTCACCTGGGTTCGGAGGAACAGAGAGCAGCATGTCGGTGCTGCAAACCCACACACCTGGTGGGGAGCCTGGGCCCAGCTGTGGAGGAGAGAGAGCCTGTAGCCGCTGGCCTGGCCCGGCCCTCCCTCTGCTCCCACACAACGCAGTCGTGGCCTGTCCAGGAGGACTCTGGCTGCTGAGGTAATGGGGCCTCCCCTGACCTGTGGTGCTGAGGCTGGTCCTTCCCTCTACATGCCCACCTCTCCACCAGCATGGCCCAGACTAACTTCCTGAAGCCCTAACTCTGGGCACCCCCGAAGCCGTTCTTCCTGGCATCCCCTGTCTGCACCAGCACAGACTGCAGAGCCTGTGGTGCAGAGGGAGAGCTCTGTCTCTCTCTGGGAGGAGGCCCCAGGGTCACCACCAGCCTTACCCGATGGCTCATGATGTCCAGCAAGCAGTCCAGGTTGCAGACCACGGCCTCCACCGGAGCTTGGGGGTTCTCCACGGGGAGGCAGGTGAAGGCCCGGCCACAGTCATCAAAAGGGAAATCTCGGCCCTAGGGAGGGAGCGGGGACAGGAGAAAGAACCCTCAGGGCAGAGAGCCTCGGGACACCCTATCAGCAGCACAAGGCAGGAAGCCATCAAGCTAGAAGACTCTTAAAACGTGTTTTCTCAGGGGCGCCTGGGTGGCTCAGTTGGTTGGGCGACTGCCTTC